CGTATGGGGCTTTTCTTATTCCTATGTTTTTTGCGTATTTTCTGTGTATGTCCAATTGCAAGTAAACCATGGTCACCAAAAAATATAAAAAAAGAAAAAGAAAAGAAAAAACATAAGATACGACAAAAAAATTAAAAATCAGAAATCTTAATGAATTCTCAAATTAAAGGAATGATATAACTATCTACATATATATGCACACACACACACACACACATATATATATATATATATATATATATATATATATATATATATATATATATATATATATATATATATATATATATATATGTATGTATGTATGTATGTATATATATAAATTATATATATATATATATATATATATATATATATTATATATATATATGTGTGTGTGTGTGTGTGTGTGTGTGTGTGTGTGTGTGTGTGTGTGTGTATACATACATACATACATACATACATACACACACACACACACACACACACACACACACACACACACACACACACACACACACACATATATATGTATATATATATATATATATATATATATATATATATATATATATATATATATATATATATATATATCACACACACACACACACACACACACACACACACACACACACACACACACACCACACACATATATATATATAATATATATATATATATATATATATATATATATATATATATATTATATATATATATATATATATATATATATATATATATATATATATATATATATATATATATATATATATATATATATATTCCGATTCTTCAATGAAAATTAAATTCATACCGATATTAATGTACATATTGCTGATAGAACATCGTCGATACCCTATTGTAAGAAAATATCGAAACTGATATGTATGTGTAAAAAAGAGAAAAGAGAAAGAAGTAGAGATAGTAACAAAGAGGGAGAAAGATAAAATGTGGGAAAGGAGAGATTAAAGATAAGGGAGGAGAGAGAGAGAGAGAGAGAGAGAGAGAGAGAGAGAGAGAGAGAGAGAGAGAGAGAGAGAGAGAGAGAGAGAGAGAGAGAGAGAGAGAGAGAGAGGGAAGATAGAGAGAGAGAGAGAGATAGATAGATAGATAGATAGATAGAGAGAGAGATGTTGAAAAGGAAGGAAGGAGAAAGGGAAAGAGAGTCAGAGAGAGAGAGAGAGAGAGAGAGAGAGAGAGAGAGAGAGAGAGAGAGAGAGAGAGAGAGAGAGAGAGAGAGAGAGAGAGAGAGGAGAATAGAGAGAGAAGGAGAGAATGTATGCATGTATTGATTTATTTTTTTATGCATCTTCAGAAAAAAAACACAAAAAACTAGTGATACCGAAAAACGATTCTGTGATTAAATAGCTAAGGCGATATATATCCATATATCTATATCTATCTATCTATATATGTATATATATATATTATATATATATATATATATATATATATATATATATATATATATATATATATATATATATACATATATATATATATATATATATATATATATATATATATATATATATATATATATATATATATATATATAATATATATATATATATATATATATATATATATATATATATATATATATATATATATATATATATATATATATATATATATATATATATATATATATATATATATATATATATATATATATATATATATATATATATATATATATATTATATATATATATATAATATATATATATGTAAAAGAATTTTTCATATTCAAATTTATCCTATTCATTCTATATTTAATTTTGTACTCGTTATAGTGATTTTTTCATATGCCAATTTTTTTAAATGTAGGCCTATTCTTACTGTATTACTGTAGCATAACTTAACGGTCTTTAAGGCTCGTGGGTGTGAGAATGATTTTTTTCCTCTGTTGAGTGTGCCTATTATTATAACGGTCATAGAAACATTTTAACCATTAATATTTTATTCAATAAACAAACAATGAGCAAATGGCATATCATTCTGTAAATCTTAGCAATACATATAATAATTAAAATAAGCAATATTCTCAAATAATTTAATGCATAAAGATAATTCTATACACCCTCCCTTTTCCCATCAATTAGAAATCAAATTCTATTAATAAATAAAATAAAAATATATGTGAGACAAAATCTAGACCCTCACACCCAGTCTATCACCGTGCTTTCCATGATTTTTCCTAGGGCATAAGCCAATCATTTTCCTTCTTTTAAACTTTATGACATACCTCTCTTACTCTTCACTCTAATAAATAAATTCCTTTTCAAACTATTGATTGATACTACCGGAACTGCCACCTGTGATAACTTCCGTTACTGTATCCACGGACCACTGAAATAAGTAAAAACAATAGATATTCTTTCTCAAATAAAGCATTATGGCGTGTTATTATTGCCACATCTTTTTTTTTTCTCCTCTCTGTGTTTGGGAGGAAGGTCAGGACTCATCTGAATATTACAAATTGATACAAAAGGAGTTAACAACTACGTTTA